ACTCAGCCAAGGCTGCCCTTAGTCAACAATTCTGTTCATAACCTTTATGGGCAGGATTTCTAGGCGCAGAGATGGTGTGGAGGGCATCCGTTTTGATGGCCTGAGGATCAGGTCTCTGCTTTTTGCAGACAATGTGGTCCTGCTGGCTTCATCAGAACGTGATTTTCAGCTTTCGCTGGAGCGATTCGCAGCCAAGTGTGAAGCAGCTGGGATGAGAATCAGCTCCTCTAAATCTGAGACCATGGTCTTGATTCAGAAAAGGGTAGAATGCCTTCTCCGGGTCAGGGAGGAGGTCCTGCCCCAAGTGGAGGAGTTTAAGTATCTCAGGGTCTTGTTCACGAGTGAGGGAAAACTGGAGCGTGAGATCGATAGGCAGATTGATGCTGCATCTGCAGTGACGCGGGTGTTGTACCAGTCTGTCGTGGTGAAGAGAGAGCTGAGTCAGTAGGTGAAGCTCTCGATTTACCGGTCGATCTACGTTCCTACCCTCACCTATGGTCATGAGCTTTGGGTAGTGACCGAAAGAACGAGATTGTGGATACAAGCGGCCGAAATGAGTTTTCTCTGAAGAGTGGCTGGGCTCTCCCTTAGAGATAGGGTGAGAAGCTCGGCCATTTGGGAGGGGCTCAGAGTAGACCTGCTGCTCCTCCATATTGAGAGGAGCCTGTTGAGGTGGCTCGGGCATCTGGTCAGGATGCCTCCTGGATGCCTCCTTGGTGAGGTTTTCCGGGCACGTCCAACTGGGAGGAGGCCTAAAGGGAGACCCAGGACACGTTGGAGGGACTATGTCTCTCACCTGGCCAGGGAACGCCTTGGGATTCGCCCGGAGGAGCTGGCCCAAATGGCTGGGGAGAGGAAAGTCTGGGCCACTCGCCTTAGGCTACTGCCCCCGTGACCCGACTCCGGACAAGTGGATGAAAATAAATAAATGAATGAATGAATGAATGAATGAATGAATGAATGAATGAATGAATGAATGAATGGATGGATGGATGGATGGATGGATGGATGGATGGATGGATGGATGGATGGAAGGATGGATGGATGGATGAAGAACAAGGCGTATTACCTTCTTATTAGTGATCTTGGCTGACTGCAGCTGGTAGTCTCACGTTGCAGCCTAAAACGGTTTTGTTTGACAGAACTTACTGAAATGACCAAAACTCATCTGTCACTTTCAGATTAAAGAAAGTTGGTCTTGCTGTTCAAGAATAACTCAGGAACCACCAAGGCTCAAGTCTACTAGGAGCTAGAATGAAACACCAGTGTTTTTTACACAATGAATCCATCATCACGGATGGATAAGACCAAGACAAAAGCTCCTGTTCCTTCATGTTTAGCGAAAATATGCCCACACTGATAAATCATCTCTGGGAAATGGTTGATGGGAAAAGGATTGAGTTAAAATGAAAAAGAAAAAAACTATGTTTGGAGAAGTTATGGTAAGACTTTCCTGTCTGTTCAGCTTGGTAGTGGTGGCATATATCGTACTAGTTCACTAAAAAGTAGCTGAAATAAAGAATCATAGTCTCCAAATTCATCAACTTCACCTCAAATCAACAATTAGATGACTGAAGATTGGATACAGCAGGGTGTTTCAATAAGAGAACGAACCTAAACTCATGAACTTGGATAAAGCAGAATAGCATTAAGCTTCTGGACTGGTCTTCACAAAGCTCTGACCTTAGCTGTGTTAAATGTTTGGGGTCTATGACCAAAACTTGAGGTGGGAAAGAAATTAATTTAAAGGTGCCCTATAATTTAAAATCACATTTACCTTGTTCTTGTAGAGTACAGGCAGTGTAGGCTGTCTAATGTAGCATACCAAAAGCATGTTTCTTCTCTTACCAGCTTCTTAAGTCCTTATGTTGTAAAAGGCCAAGGTAAAATGGTTCAAAGCCTGAGCTGCTGCTAGCACTAGCCCAAGCTACTGCTAACGCTAGCCTGAGCTGCTGCTAACATCCTTGTTGGACAAGAGGAAAGCAACATAGAAGAATATCGGAGTACTCACGTTCCAGGATGTTCCAGGAATATCCAGACTTTGAATGAATGTCAGACAGGTCTACAGCTTGCAGCCTTTGTCCTCGTCCTTGTTGGTCTGTAACTGCATGTCTGTAACTCAAAACAGGGTTAAAATTCAAAGTTTCCTGAGACTTTTTTTCTCCTACTTAATGAATCTGCATGGTTGATGGCTGGTGATTCTGCCAGTAGCTGACCAACCAGTGGTGAGATGCAGGACACAGCTGTGAACACAAACACACCGAAGGCCAGTTTGGAATGTCCAATTAACACAACATGTGTTTTTAGACTTCTACGAGTATCAAGAAAAAACTCAAATGCAGCCATTAAAAGCCTTTCTGTCAAAATGTAAAAGGCTAAAAGCATATTAGGTAAAGATGATTTTTATGTCTTGACTCACTTCTGTGAGACAAAGTTGTTTATTCTTGATCTGTACTTCTTAGGCAGACAAAGCAGTCTCCAGAAAAGGCTGAATGAAGAATTCCTGGATCCTCACCTTCTTCATTTAATTTAGATATTTGCATGACAATTATTCAGTCATGTGATTCAAATGCTTTGGCCACATAGGACTCTTCCTGTCTTAACCATATTGAGCATTTGGACAATTTACATGTTCTAACTAAACTGGATCTTGCCATAACTTGTCAAACCATCAGATGAAAGAAAATGTTTTGATGGGAATAGTTCCAGTGCTGTCACTTTGGCACAAACAAAATAAAACTGAATCACATTAACATGAAAAACGTATTGTTCCAGGATCTTTTTATACTGTGTTGTTTGATTTTTATAATGTGTTGTTTGAATGAGATGACTGGAAGAAGCTTATATTATATTATCATTTCCATTGTGATTCATTTTAAATATTTTACCATAGCAGAGGCGAGGTTGTAAAGATCTTCAATCAAAAATTTATTTTAGAAAATTTCAGAAAAACAATTAAAATGTTCTTTTTTCATGTCTAATGTTGCAGAGAATCACATCCAAACGTCTCACTGTCTATTTCTACCAAGAACAACTAGAGCATGAAAAATAACTACGTGTGAACAATAAAGAAATAAAATTTTAACTACATTTCAACAACCTTATATCAATATTAATTTTACTAAGTAATATAACAAAACTATTTTGTTCAAATGTGAAAGCACACAATATGGAGCTCTACAAGTCCTACGGAGGGAAATGCGTGTAACACGTAAATGGCTTTAGGCCTTGTTTGTTTGTTTGTTTTGGGGGGTCAGTTTAAACTGATCCTAAGCTCATCTAGAAATGTAGTAATTATATGAGGTAAATGGTAAATTGCCTGTATTTCTATAACACCTTCTAGAGTGCTTCAGCTCAGGTGCTTTACAACATAAACATTATCATAATATTTGAAATTATATAATCTATACTAATTTATATAAATTATATATCAATACATGACATGCATTCCACTGTGGAGGCCATGGGCAGCTCCTTCAGTGGCAGACTGAGTTATCCATGATAGATCATTCATCCCTTCTGCAGTAAGAGTGTATAACTCCTCAGTTTAACTGGTACTGGCATTATTCTGGTACACAATAACATCAGTATCTGTTCAATACTTGTGCAATACCGGACAAACATTATGTCTGTGTCCCTTATGATGCATAGTTCTGGAAACCCCGGTTTCCTTTTTATTTGTTATTTTTATTAGTTGAAGGCAACAATAGTGTTTACCTGTAATCTTATTATTTTTCTTCTTCCTTTTCACTAAGTGTGTGTGCTGCTGTAGCAATTGAATTTCCCCACTTTGGGATTACTAAAGTCTAGTCTGTTCTATTCTACACCAGAATACTTGCATTAAGTGCTTAATAACTACTTCATGACTATATGAAATTATATAAAGCAAAATTTAAAGTTGTCTCGTTAGCATTTTTCATTAAAAAATATATTAACTGGCTGTTGAGCCTGTTTCTATCCCTCAATATTCGCTAATTCGTACAACCCTTGGGGCTACGTCCCCCTTGACTTTAACAATAGTGACACCCCTGATCTCATGATCAGTGTAAACACAACACAATGTGACATAAAAACACCATTTTTCAAACATTTTCACTATATACCATGATATTGTTTTATTTCTTAATGGAGTAGCAGGAATTTTATCAATAAACTTGTCAATTTTCTTCATCTTCGTCTTCCTCCGCTTATCCGGGTCCGGGTCGCGGGGGCAGCATCCCAACTAGGGAGCTCCAGGCCGTCCTCTCCCCGGCCTTGTCCACCAGCTCCTCCGGCAGGACCCCAAGGCGTTCCCGGACCAGATTGGAGATGTAACCTCTCCAACGTGTCCTGGGTCGACCCGGGGGCCTTCTGCCGGCAGGACATGCCCGAAACACCTCCCCAGGGAGGCGTCCAGGAGGCATCCTGACCAGATGCCCAAACCACCTCAACTGGCTCCTTTCGATCCGGAGGAGCAGCGGTTCTACTCCGAGTCCCTCCCGAATGTCCGAGCTCCTCACCCTATCTCTAAGGCTGAGCCCGGCCACCCTACGGAGGAAACTCATTTCGGCCGCTTGTATCCGCGATCTCGTTCTTTCGGTCATTACCCAAAGCTCATGACCATAGGTGAGGATTGGGACGTAGATCGACCGGTAAATCGAGAGCCTGGCTTTCTGGCTCAGCTCCCTCTTCCCCACGACAGATCGGCTCAGCGTCCGCATCACTGCAGACGCCGAACCAATCCGCCTGTCGATCTCCCGATCCCTCCTACCCTCACTCGTGAACAAGACCCCGAGATACTTATTTGAATTAATATATTAATATTAGTTTTTATTGTGCAGTGTTTGTCGGGGTCCGATGGTTTTAAGGTTGTGTCTGAAATCAAGAATTTCACTTGCACGTACTGTACTAGTGTACCTGCACATGTGACGTGATAAAGGTGATTTGATTTGATTTGATTTGAAATCTGCCATTTTATGTCACTCAAAAAAAAGATAAATCTGAATGAAAAACTACTTCAATCATAGAGCAATTGCAACATTTATTGAAGTGTTGGCTTTCTTGTATTGATTTTTCAACACATTACAAAAATACATATATGTTCAAAACAGCAGACGTGTACTGTTCTGAAAACACTTTTTTTGTTTCACAATGATGCACTCCTCCCTCCTCCCAAAAAAAAAAAGAACAAGGAAACTATTTTGTACAAAGAGTGAAGGTGAAAGTTGTGAAAAGTGAAATATGAAAATGTATTCAAAATTACAGTTGTAAGTGCCACCACAAGACCTAAACATAATGTCCGTGTAAGTCTTGATTTCTGCGCAAATCTATTGTGTTTCCCAGTCGAAGCTCTTCTTTTAGGTTTAAATCTGGTTTGTTTTTCCCGTATCACTTTGTTTTACATCCATGAGGGATCGCTTAAAAGAAGGGATAAAAAAAAATAAAAAATCAGGACACAAGAATGGCACCACTGCTGTTAAAAAAAATAAGAATAAACTCTCAAAATTCTGCATTTCTACATTTATAAAAGAAAAACCTTTCCATACAGTGAACGAGCAATCATACAGAAACAGATTAATGTTAATAAAACCCTCCACCAGGAAAATTATACAAAAACTGTAATGGTATTCAGATTAGTTCATAGAACATTGGAGAAAACAATACTTAAAATAGAAACCATCTTTAACACTTCCACAAAGAATTTCCTTAATGGCGTACTTCAACACTGTAAACATATTATAAGACTTGAATGTCCGTGTGATCGGGGTTTCCACTGTTCATCGTTCGTGTGTTTCTGTAGCTCATTGTGGCCTCACACACTCATTCACAGTGTGTTTAAAAACCAGCACTTTGATTCTTTTTTTTTTTTTTTGCGCTCGTATTGTCCAGTTTTTAGTTTCTATTCATCCGCTAAAATAAACCCAACTGCATAACTTATTTGGACCACGAAAATTGTCATTCTCTGATTAGCCAAAACATTTTTTTGTTCCGCTAACTCAAAGTGGTCCAGATAAAACCTGACAACAGGCCAGAATAGCAGGTCAAACTTTCAAGTGATTATGATTTTGATGGCGGAGAATTGCAGCGCTAAAATAAGAGATGTAGTCTTGTTCTCCTTTCATGTGGCTTTGCCGTCTCCCTTCCTCTCACGCTCACTGTCTCATTCTGAAGGTCTGTTATAAGATGTGGCCAGTAGATGTGTATTTGGGTACAAAAAATACACGTTTCATATGCTTCCAGTTTCATTTGAATGACTATTCTCCCCAGTCAAGGTCTTGCTCTCCCTCTCTCCCGCCATTTCTTTCTCACACATCTTCATGTCTCAGCTCCAATCTTTCATTTTTGCTATAAGAATAGCCCCTACTCAAGGTCGCTCGGCCGTCCCCTAGTGCAGCTGTGCTCAAATTATCATAACTCATACGGCCCCTTTTGCACCAGATTCATTTCAGGATGAGCGATGCAGAAAATAAAAAACGTAATCCCCGAAAGACACGATCAGGCACACTGTCTTCAAAATCTGTTACAGGGAGTTAAACCCATATACGACTGTGAGAGGCGAATGAACAGGCTTCCTTTTAAAAGCTGCTCTAATGCATGAGTCTGAGTTGGTGAACTGTGAAAAGACACCGTCAAAGAGAAGCTCAGAGCATGCTGCAAAGAGGAGAAGAACACACGGTAACACATATTGATGTGAATTTCATTTGAAATGCTTATTTTCAGGGGGGGGGGGTCTTTAGGCGATGCAGGAATTCGACCCAAGACTCGCCACATCAGACACATGAAGACAGATGGAGAATCATTCAGAGAGTCAAGTAGCTTTTGTTTAACATAAACTTTGAGCACGTGAGATGAGTTTATGTTGGAGGTAATCAAATGGGCTTCGTAAAGAAACGATGTATGGCAGTTCCATGTAGCATATATACTGTGGATGATGTGAGCAGCTGGTTTTCTGATTGTTTAGATTTAGGCCATCTTTCCTGTACAGTCAGGGCTACTTTTAACATATAAAAAAGAATATATTTACAAACCATCAAAAGGACTGTTCTTCTTCTCACATTAATCACAAGTAGTCTTAACTTATTCAACATATTAAATATGGTGGTTTAGTCCTACATCAGGAATGTTCCGAGCATCAGTTAAGGGGTTTTTCTATTAAGTGCAACCTTTATTTTTGTCCTTTCTGCAGTTTGAAATAATTTCAATTTTGGACTTTTTAAAAAAAAAAACAGAGCTCCCTAAATAAATTAAAACCAAGCTACCAGATCTCTAAGATAATATTGGATTTTATAAATCCAGTATGATGTTTTATTGTCTGGCTGACATTCAGTGCTTCAGGCCTAAATAAGGGAATGGATTGTAGTCCGCTGCTGCAGGTAACAAATGTATTATTATTTTTTTTACTTTTAAAAGCTAACAGCTTCACACAAATTTACTCTCACAGGATAACAAGCTTCCTCAGAGGAAAAAAAAATGCATCGATGGTGACGTCTTGTCAGTTATAGCATTTTAGAAAAACAAAAAAACATTTTCGAACATTTCAAAACTAACTCCATATGAAATCCCACAAAGATGTACCTGCACATGCCAAATATCATTACAAAAATCCAATAAATACAGAAATTATTGCACAGTAGAAAGGCTCCATAGATTCCTAACTGACAAAATCCTCCGACTATTTGCCGTGAAACACCAAGTTGGGCATCTCAGACAAAATATTATTAAAGTTTCCATTTGGTAATATTCTCAGGTGGCAGTTTTTGTGACAAGAAAAAAATGATAAACATCAATCAATCTTAATTTTTTTTTTCTAGAGAAACATAATCCAGCCAAGCCCCATCATTGAAGAAGTGGTCGTTGAGATTGTGTGTGTGTGTGTGTGTGTGTGTGTGTGTGTGTGTGTGTGTGTGTGTGTGTGTGTGTGTGTGTGTGTGTGTGTGTGTGTGTGTGTGTGTGTGTGTGTGTGTGGCGCACAGTTTTGTTTATGTGTGTGAAAGGGTGTTTTTTTGTACCATATGCTGTATAATTAATGGTCGGTGGCTTATCCTCTGTCCGCTTGCTCCAATTTGACCTCACTGGCCATCAAATGTTCGCCATGCCACTTCTTCATGTGTTTCTCCAGTGTGCTGTAGACACTGAAGGGCATGTGGCAAATGTCGCAACGGTACACCTCCTTCCCAAACTGGCCGTGGGTCTTCATGTGGCGCGTCAGCTTGGAGCTCTGGGCGCAGGCGTAGCTGCACAGGTCGCATTTGTACGGCCGCTCCCCAGTATGGCTGCGGCGGTGGACTGTCAAATTGCTGCAGTTCTTGAACACCTTGCCACAGTACTCACATGTGTCATTCCTTTTCTCCTTAGAACTGGGAGGTCTGCCCGGCCCAGGTCCCCGCATGAGGTGAGGGGTGCTGCTGCCGCTGCGGCCTGAGGCACTGCCACCTTCCATCAGCTCCCCAGGCGGAGTGGAGAAGCGGAGGCTCCCTGTTTCTGAGGAGGAGTGTTCTGAGGAGGTGGCAAAGGGGGACTGACGGGAATCCGTGAATCCTAAGAAAGGTTCTCTGATGAAGTGGCGTGAAGCAGCATAGCCAGCCAGGAGCTGGGAGTAGACGTTTTCTGGGGAGATGAGTGGGATGGCCGGAGGAAGTTCCAGCTGTTCTTTCTCAATCTTGATCCTCTTGTTGTTGGAAGGGCTGGGGCTGGTGATCGGAGTAGGCCGACGCTGAAACAGCCCGGGAAAAGAATCTGCTTCGTTCATACTGATTCTGCCGTTCATCAGAGGCCTCGGGGCCCCCTGCTCTTCTCTCTCTCTCACTGCTTCTCTTTCATTCTCTCGTTCTCCTTCGTTCCTCTCCTCGCCGACTTCATTAGGTTGTCTCTCCAAGCTCCTCTTGTTAGGGTTCATTCTAAGATGATTGTCTATGTGGTTGTAAGGGTGCATGATGCCCACCCCTCCATCATCACTAATTCTGTCTCCGCTCATGTTTTTTTTTTCAGGAGACTGTCTCGGGCCATTTTCTCTGTTCTGACTGAATTCCTGGGAGTCCTCACTCAAATTGGAATCTGGTCGACTTCCGTTCCTCAGCTCTTCCTCCTCCTCCTCTTCCTCTTCCTCTTCTTCCTCCTCCTCTTCTTCCTCCTCCTCATTCTCCATCTCCATTGCCCGTGGGTCCCCCTCCCTGTTTTTTTCCTCACCTTCTCCTCTCTCTCCTCTGCACTCCTGCTCTGGAGAGTCGGTCATGCTCCCTGACTTGTTGTGCATGTGTGTTTTCATGTGCCTTTTAAGTTTGCTGGCCTGGGAACACGCGTGATCACACAGGTGACATTTGTACGGCCTCTCTCCAGTGTGACTGCGTCTGTGGACGATCAGGTTGCTCTGGAATTTGAAAATCTTGCCACAGAACTCGCAGGATTTTGATTTTCCCAGGGCCTGATTCTGGCCCTGGGTGTCTGGAGGACTGGAGGAGCCGTGCCCCCCAAGAGAAGTGGGTGGCTGAGGAGCATAGGTCAGAAATGTTGGCGGCTTAGCACCAGGTTGGAAAAGTGTCGGACTCAGCAGGCGGTGCATGGGTGGCACGCGGTTTGGAGAGAGGGGAGGTGTCGGGCCGCCACTATTTGTCGTGTTGCCTGCAAGTTCTCTCAGTCGACGGGAGAAGTCCATTGAAGGAGGCTCCATGGGTGTCATTCTCATCACCCTCTCAAAGGCACTGGGGTGCTGTGACAGCAGCCCCATTTCCTCTGGGCCCAGCCGCTCTAGAGGTGGTCTAGGTGGAGGTGGGGGGCTGACAAAGGGCGGCGTTGCCGGCAGCCGGGTCTCCATGTACCCAGGAGGATGGGGGTGTTCCCTGAGCAAGGGCGCGGCCATTCGGAGGATGTGGAACGGGTTGTTGGTGTCGCCGAGGAAAGTGGGCAGAGGAGAGCGAGGCAGGGCGTCGACTCCTGGAGGAGGGGGAAGAGCCATGCGAGGTGTGAGGGAGCAGTTGGCTGGGTGGTTGTCAAGGTAGATGCGGATGCCGTGCGTGTTCTGGGCATGCTGAAGCAGGAACCAGGCGCTGGTGAAGGTCTGCTTGCACGACGTACAGATGTAGCTGGATGGCTCGTCTTTATCTGCAGGTCAAGAGAAAGAAAATGAAGCAAGTTCAAATAACACAAAATATCCTAAAACAGTCAAGCTAACCTTTAAATGTAAAATGATTCCGTGTGTAAATGTATGCGGCATTAAGGGAAATGCATTGTGCTTAAACGCTAGCGCTAGATTAGCTTCCCGACCGTGTGTTATCAGGCTTCATAAGACGATGTGTCTACAGGCTAATATAGGTGGCAGGTAATGCCCTTAGGCCATGACACATTATGCAAATTCTTATGTCAGCTAGGCTTTAATATACAGATCTATCTCGTCAACACTGTCATTTCCATAAAGTGACAGGGGAGCCAACAATGGGTGGAAAAAAAAAAGGAAATGCGAGAAATTGGAGGCAGGGGTGGGGGTTGCAGAGAGATGTGGCACCAGAGACAAAGAGAGGAAGTCAGTTGTGATAGAGATGCGTAAACAGCACAAACGTCCACATTAAATACACCTTTGTGTCCGGAGTAGAGGATCTGTTGTGGTTCCGCGTTCTGTTAGAACCACAAGTCGCTCACAGACAAATTACCCCCCCTAAATGGTGTGATTTAATAATGCTAAATGAATCTATCAGTCACCGCGGTGCGGCCCTGTCAGCCTGCTTTTGACTCGTGAAAAAGAGCCGCCGTAGAGGTTCGTCTAATGCAACACAGGCTTGCTCCAAAGAGGTATTTCCACAGTCTTGTGTTTGCTTGTGAGGCATCTGCATCTACTTTATGGCGGCTACCGCAAGTGGAGTCAAGTTGGTACAGTCGTCCCAAAGCTCGAAGCCTGGAGGGCCAACACAAAGCTGGGGAAGTCGAGCTTGCCCAGAGTTTTATGTGATCAAGAGAAGAAAAAAAAAACGTCCTTATTAAGATGACTGGCTGCCTCAAAGCCACCCTTTGTTATGGAATGTAAAACACACAGGCAGACACCGAAACATGCTCAGGAGTATTTTCTCCGCTCGCCCCTTCACTGTGCACATCCCCACACACACACACAGATTTCAAACACACCGGCTTGTGCTGAGGAGAACAGATGAGGGAAAGCTGATGTTGGATCAGTGTCTGGTACAGGAAGCTGATTTGGCCGTGTGATTGGTTTGGCTTTCCTCTGGGGAGCAGGGGTCAGGAAAAGTTAATGAGGGGCTCATTTACTGATTCAGTCGGTTTTTCTCTGCCATTAGCAGCACTCGGGTGTAGCCGTCACTTTCACTATTCGTGTGGGTTGGGACGCGACTTAACTCTCGCTACCAGCGTGTGTGCGAGGGCTCACGTCTGTACGTGTGTGCGGACTTGTACGTGGATGTCTGTGTGCATGTGTGGGGCGAGTGGCGGGCTGCCTGCCTGCGTTTAGTTTGGCTGAGCTTCACACGGCCGCTTGGCAGCCGAGAGCTGGACAGCTTAACAGCTTGGACGGGGAGAAGAGAGCCAGAGAGGGAAGGAAAAAGGAGGAGGAGAGGGGTATAAAGAGAGGTGGAGGGACTTAAAGGGCCTGACGAGCTTGGGTGCACACGACACACACGGAGGCTATTTACATGCCCCCCAGGGACCGAGGCACAGACTCATGAGCTGTAGCCTAGACCTACCAGGATCAATACCAAACAAAGATGTCAGACTGGCCGTACTGAAAATCCAACTTAACTGTTAAAACTTTGCTTTCTTTTGAAGTTCATTCCTTTAAGTTTTTCTTATTAAAACTTTTGTGCCTCATCTTTAGACACAATGTCAGTCAAAATAGTCAGAAAAATTAGGTTTCATGACTAGGTATGCTGCTTCGTGCAACAGCGCTTTTGTTAAAAGGTTTGGATCTAAATCAATGCATTTGCAGTGGTCTCTAGTAGGAATGAATGCCTTTTAAGTCGTACTCTGGGGAAAAAAGCTCAGATGCACTTGTTTCAGGAACTAGAAGTGAGCCACATCAGAGCTGAGCTTCAAACGGCAGGATTTGGAGTTTTATTTCCTGATATTTGCACATCTCACCTCTGATTGGCTAACAGCAACAAAACTACCAACTGGCTCGTTTGCTCTGCAACGTTGATGTTTTATCTCCACAAATAACACAAGCCCGAAGGAGTTCTGCCGTGTGATCGATGTATTAATGCTAACAGTTAGCGTCTGCTAGCTGAGACGTTCTCTGCCGTTTTCTAGATGCTAAACTAAAAACAGCTTTCCCCGTCGTGAGTCCAGATGGGTGATTCCACTGATGTTACGTGACAGTGTGACGTATATCTGTCAGGCTTGTCTATTTTCTATCAGAAGTTAACACAGGAGATAGGTGTAGGAGATTATTTTCATGTTCAGCTTTTATGAAAAACTCAGACTGACCGATTATAATCAGAAATGAACATTAAAAACAGTTTTTCTGTGTTTCCACACCTTTAAATCGTTCTCATTTGTGAAGAGTGATAAGATAAGGAAAACAGAGGACCACCAGGATATTTTTAATAGTTAGGGTTGTGGCATCTTACACATGTTTTACTAATACACGCCGCCTCAGAGAAACTGCTCAGAATAGCTGCTAATGGCTTGAAATAATGCTTACTTATGACAGAGTCCTGCAACGGCTCCAGATTGGCTCCATAAGTCAGAAATATAAAGGTGATTGTGCTCTTTGTTCAGGGGTCTCATCCAGAGGCGTGCCCAGGGAGTGGCCTAGGGTATCACATTCCACCCTTGGAATCTGATTGGCCACCCCAGGTGCCAACACACTAATTTACCTTTAAATAGTCTTTTCATTGTCCACAAAAGGCTTGGGGGTAAAACAAAAAAAAAGCACAACCGTTGGTGCCACCCATGCACAAAGTTGTGCCTCACCTGAGCCACCCCATTTTAAAAGATCTGGACACGCCACTGGTCTCATCTAATGCCAAACTGAAGTTCGGATTGTGAAAGAAGTAAGACAAATAAAAACACCACGTTTTTTTCCATAAAACAATCCATGCTTAAGGCAATTAATCCAAACGGTTCAATCCCACACTAGCATCCCCACCCCACCCTCACAATGACAGCAACACATTTGCATCTTGTCATATCGTACACGGGCGCGCCATATGCTGCTAAAGGAAGCGTGGCAGCTAATAGAGAGGCAGTTGATGGCGGCTGCTTAATGACGGCCAAAGACAAATTTCATCAACTTCCCAAACAAGCAAGCAGGCGGGGGGGGTGGGAGGGTTCATGCCATGGATAGATGGATGTACAGACAGACGACTTGCACCCATGCTGAGCGTGCGCCGCTGCTCAGCGCCCAGGCCAGTGAAAGCCTTCATTAAAGAATCACGGTGGCCATGTCAGGCTTCAGCTTGTGGTAATTACAGCCGACTGCCTGACACGCAGGCAGGGACCCTTCCTCTGCTGACCGCCAAGGTCAACTACCAGTTAGAACTGTTGCACTCTCCGCTCCATGCCGTCGCTGATGCTGGACCTAATCGGCCAATTTGCCAAACACACACACGACCCTTACGTGTGTGAATGAGATGAGAGGTTAAATGAAATGGAGTCGCAGCAGGAACCAGTAATTTGGTACACTGCGTTTTGCTGCGTTTTGTCATTTCGCCAGCTATTTGTAAACGCTTTGGTGTAATGGAATTCACCTAAAAAGGATTGTCTGTTATTTTTCTGCTCAGGTGTTCGCGCTGGCAGACTGTTCCCATGAAACCAGGGGAGCACAATGCAGACGTGAAACCAGCTCAGGAGGGCAGCTCTTTGTCCTGCACAACAAAACAAGGGCTAAGGGCCAGGAGGCCTGGAGGAAGTTATTAAAGCCTTGGCACATGCACGGAGCTGAGGTGGGCCAGTAATAATGCTCTCCCTCTCTCCTGCGTTGGGTTTTTTTTTTTTTTTTTACTAAACCACTGGGCCAATTAACCCAGTCTTCAGGGACTGAGATCTGAGCTTTACATCAGATTTTATTCTTTCCAGATTGCCTTTTATAGCCATTATTTTGCCTTAAAAAGTACAAACAAAATGCCAGTGAATGAAGGGGAGCCATGGTATTGACTGTTTGCATGTGGCTAGCAAAAGGCTGGTGGAGTTGACTCAGACACCGATGGTGCAGACATGTGGACTTGGGCTTCATTTGGGAATTCACAGCTTCCAGCCAGATTTTCATTTTTTATTAGAGGTCCCTCCATTTACTTTTTCTGGCCTCTGCTGAGCGTTCTAGTCCACTGAGACCACAGAAGAAGACATTTCCACGCTGTCGGTGTTCAGAAAGAAACAGGATCTTAACCATAACGTTGAATTAAGTTTCACTGAGCTCAAAGGAAATAAGAGTGAAGAGAAAATACGCAACCACGGAAAGTCTTGATGTTTATGTGTGGGATGTTGTTGCTTTAGTGTAGACGAATGTCAGTGCAGGTGTTAGTTGTTAGGAAGGAGGTGACGAGGATGCTCTATCGTGACGTGAGTGTGTGTGCTGCAGCATTCCAGAGGTTCAGGTACGCTTTGCTATTCCGACATTCCATCAAGGGCAACAGAACGCCACAGCGACAGATTTGCATACAGAACAAAGCCGCCCGCAGGCTAGGCCACTGGGACTTAAACCTGCCCCTGCAGCCCCTCCTCTACCCTCTGCACACACACACACACACACACAAACACACATGCACACACTCTTTGTTCAAACACACTTAGCTTGCAAACGCTCTGGGAGTACGCGCATGTGCACCTGTCAGGGGTTAGCTGACACCTCCGCTGCTGGTGAAGCAGCTCCTCATTAGCATGGCTGTGATCTAGGGGTCCCCAGGGGTCCCAGCCTCCTCACCTCACCTCTGCTCCTCTCCTCCTCCTCCTTAAGTCTCCCATCTTTTCTACTCCTCTTTCTTTTTCTGAACTTCTCTCCCTTTTGCTCCGATGGCGTGTTTGTGAAGATGGCGGATAATCAGGAGCTGATCAACTCTTAGATTGTGTGTGTACGTGCATGTGTGTGTGTGTGTGTGTGTGTGTGTGTGTGTTAGGATAAACTAGAAAACAGCAGCTGACTTGTCATACACATGTAGTAG